GAGTTGTAAGAGATCACAAGGGCCATCCAAACTAACAAAATTCATACCCTACTTCATTCAGGTGTGTTTTTCCCCCTATTAGTTAGTTCCACACCCTGGTTGCACTTATGGTCAACTACTGCCACATATTAGGTTTCCCTATTGTTGACAAAGTTGAAGTACTTTGGCCACATCATGAGGAGACAGGAAAGCCTAGAGAAGACAATTATGCTGGGGAAAGTGGAAGGAAAAAGGAAGAGGGGCCGACCAAGGGCAAGATGGATGGATGGCATCCTTGAAGTGACTGGACTGACCTTGAAGGAGCTGGGGGTGGTGACGGCCGACAGGGAGCTCTGGCGTGGGCTGGTCCATGAGGTCACGAAGAGTCGGAGATGACTGAACGAATGAACAACAACAACATTGTTGAGAAAGGGGTAAGTTTGCTTTCTTCTGTTCTGAACACTAAGACACAGAACAATTGATTCAAACTGCAGGAAAAGAGATTCCAAGAAAACATAAAGAAGAACTTCTTGATGGTAAGAACTGTTCGGCAGTGGAATGTGCTATTTTGCAGTCTCCTTCTTTGGGGGGTTTTAAAGCAGAGACTAGATAGCCATTTGTCGGGAGTACTTTTATTGTCTTCTCCTGCCTGGCAGAATGTGATCTCTACAAACTCTGATTTCATAGTAATTGTTAAACTGATCCTACTAAATCTATTAGTAAAATCCAAATTTGGATAACCTGCTCTCATGCTTTGTGTCTTTCTCTACTTTGAACTGTCTTCCCTTTTCAACGGTAAGCAAACAGTATTTTGGCGCCCCCCCCCCAACCAATCATTGATATATATTTTCTGTTCGTCGTGGGAGTTGTGTGTGCCATATTTGGTTCAATTTCATCATTGGTGGAGTTCAGAATGCTCTTTGTAGGTGAACAATACATCCCAGTAACTACAACTCACATATGTCAAGATCTATTTCCCCCCAAGAGCGCCTCAAGAGCGCCCCTGGGCAAAATCAACTATACTGCAAATGCTTACTTTGCGTAATGGGTTGAGCCGCCCCTGTGCACAACAGAGATTAAAGGATGGTTTCATTGGAAGCAGCCATAAAATCAAGACCTTCATTTGGCTGCATTGATGAGGCCACTTGCATTAGTTGTTTCTGTAGCATCTCTCCTTCTCACTGTGGTTCATGGAGTCACAATGTCTGTGTTGGCTGTCAATGACCATGAAGAACACCCTACCTTACTGCCCCACTTCTAGTTCTGGTGATTCTTCCTGGCTCCTTCTCCATGAAAAACTGATTCGCATCATTCAGATCACAGACTGGGCCCTGGTATTTGCTAAATCGACAGTATGCAGGCTGTAGTTCGAGCACTTGGACTACTGCCAAGGTTGGGTTGCTGACATCACACAGCCAGTGGGGTTTGTGGAACACAGACTAACAAAATGCTTCCCTCTGCTCATGCCACTTTGGATCAACAGCAAGAGAGAGCGCAAACATGACAGTGCATCCCTCATAGGGGCACCCTTGATCTGCCCCTGAATGACTAAAGAACACACCCTCGCTTCTAAAGCCTGCAATTAAGCCCTTGAGACTGGGATGATTCAAAGGGAAAGTCCTGGGCCTCAGTGCTTATTAACAGCAACATCTGTCACTCTACTAAATACAACACAAGCTGGAATGACTTCGGGGGGAAAATATTTTTAAATGCAGCCTGCAAAACTATTAAGAGATGCTGCACAAGACACAGGAGGACGCTGAGGCCTCCCACCCACCTAATCTTCTTCTATCAACTCAGGATAGCATACATGGCGGAGGATGCTCACATCCGCTTGTGAGCTAGATTGTGCAAGAAAAGAGGGACATGTACTCATTTTGCCCATTTTAAATTTATTTTAACATTTATATCTCACCTTTTATCTGACATGGGTTCTGAGCCCATCCCATCCAATCTCAAAACTACCTAATTGCATATCATTAATGGTAAGTTGTTTATTTCTTGTAAGGTGTAAACAGAATGTTGGAATTTATATACTAAGACAGCCCAACCAACACCAACTGGTGAAAATCTGAATCATAATGTAGCCCAATAAAAAAAGAATTCTTAAGAGTCTTGGCCTTTAGGCCTCTTCCTGGGGTTATTTGGGGTGCTGAAACAATAATTTGCATCAGATAGACTGCATAAGGTCTAGTTTCTAAGATTGTTTTGTTTGTCGTGTCAGGAGTGACTCCTGGTGTGAGAGAATTGGCCGTCTGCAAAGACATTGCCCAGGGGACGCCTGGATGATTTGATGTTTTTATCATTCTTGTGGGAGGTTTCTCTCATGTCCCCGCATGAGGAGCTGGAGCTGATAGAGGGAGCTCATTCACCTCTCCCCGGATTCAAACCTGTGACCTGTCGGTCTTCAGTCCTGCCTGCACAGGGGTTTAACCCACTGCACCACCGGGGGCTCAAGTTTCTAAGATATGCTTATGGTTTTCTATGGATGAGTGGATGGTAACTAATAGATGACATGTATTCTGTATCTTAAAAACTAGAGCTGGAAAACTAGTGCAATTTTTCAAATCAGCAGGTCAAATATACCCAGAAACAGGGCTAATATTTGAGGCACCAAAATGTATGTTGGCCAGTGTTATCTATTTTTCTAGTTTCTACACCTCACTGCTGTGTTGGCTTGCTACCTGAAGCCACTCTAATTTATTTTGAGATTGTATTGCTTCATTGGAACTCATGAATAAATAAATAAATAAATAAATATGCGTATCCTAAGATATAGTTTGGATTAAATGTATTCTCTAGTTAAGCAACAGGTAATCTAGTTACTGGAGGACTGGGTTGGAAACAACCATTTCTGTAACACTGGCCAATGCACATTTTGGTGTGTTGGCCCATCATCATCATCATTATCATCATCGTCACAGGTGCCCATCCCGTCCAATCTTTATGTAGCATTGGGGGCCGTGCAGTGGTGGTGGGAATGTGGAGGGATGGCTATGTTGTTTTGTGGTGTGTGCTGGGGAAAGCATATAATTTCATTGTCCAATGTACAGTGTACAATGACAATAAAGTTATTGTTCTATTCTAGTTTGACTTTGTTGTAGCCCTCCTGGGGCCATCATGAAGTAGTAGTAGTGTTTATACCATCTTTTGGGTTCGCTTTAAGACCATCGTTAAATTTCTTTTGTTGTCCACTGGCATTCTGTTTTCTGTACATGAGCTGAAGATAAAGTGGTGGTGATGGTGGTGGTGATGATGATGATTGCCTTTTCTCCTTGTGGAACAAGGAGACTCAAACTGACTACTCAAACCTACTGCTAAGACTCTACCTTTGGAATATATATTTATTATTATTATTATTATTAGCGGGTTTCTGTGAGTTTTCCGGGCTGTATGGCCATATTTCAGTAGCATTCTCTCCTGACATTTTACCTGCATCTATGGCAGGCATTCTCAAAATGTGTTCAGACATCTGTGGGAATGAGGTAAGTGGGATGTATATATATCCATGGAATGGACAGAGTGAGAGACAGAACTCTTGTCTGTTTGAGGCTAGTGTGAATGCTGCAGTTAGCAAGCTTGATTAGCAATTGAGTAGCCTTGTAGCTGCAAAAGCTGGCTGTTGATGCCTGGGGACATACTTTGTTGGGGAGGTATTAACTAGCACTTGATTGTTTGATGTCTGGAATTCCACTGTTTCTGAGTGGTGTTCTTTATTTACTGTCTTGATTCTGGTGTTTTTTTTTTTAATAATGGTAATTAGATTTTGTTTATTTTCATGATTTCCTTCTTTCTGTTGAAATTGTGCACATGCTTGTGGATTTCAGTGGCTTCTCTGTGTAGTCTGTCATGCTGGTTGTTAGAGTGGTCCAGCATTTTGTTGTTTTCAAATAGTATTCTGTGTCCAGGTTGGTTCATCAGATACTCTGCTATGGCTGACTTCTCTGGTTGAATTAGTCTGTAGTGCCTTTCATGTTCCTTGATTTGTGTTTGGGCAATGCTGCATTTGATGGTCCCTATGTAGACTTGTCCACATAGGGTATACAATGCTGCATGGTATACAATAGACGCCTGCAGAGGATCTCTCTTGTCCTTTGCTGAATGTAACATTTGTTGAATTTCCTTAATGGTTCTGTAGATAGTTTGTAGGTTGTGCTTCTTCATCAGCTTCCCAATGTAGTCAGTGGTTCTTTTGATTTATGGTAAGTGCACTTTTCATCTGGTGGATCTTTGTCTTTATTCTCCTGGCTTGTTCTTGGTTTTGCAGCTCTTCTGATTTCTGTGGTGGAGTATCCATTTGCCTCTAGAACCCAGTTTAGGTGGTTCAGTTTAGGTGGTTCAGCTCTGGATGTAGGTAAACTACAACTCCCAGACTGAAGGCCAATGCTCACCAAACTCTTCTAGTATTTTCTATTGGTCATGGGAGTTCTGTGTCCCAAGATTGGTTCAATTCCATCATTGGAGTTCAGAATGCTCCTTGATTGTAGGTGAACTACAAATCCCAGCAGCTACAACTCCCAAATGACAAAGTCGAATTTTTTGATTGAAGGACATACATTGGGTTGTTAGGTGTCTTGTGTCCAAATTTGGTGTCAATTCCCCCAGTGGTTTTTGAGTTCTGTTAATCCCACAAACGAACATTACAGTTTTATTTATATAGATAGATAGAAATAGATTATTCAAACCCATTGCCTTTGGAAGATACATAATTGGCAGGAGGGATGGCTCTTACCTATCTATATAAAGGGAAATGGGCCTCTCCCTATTGCCAGAAACCATTGTTACTCCAAAGGGGGAGCTGCAGGTGCCTGTGGGCCCGCCTTTGCCTGGGAGGCAGCCGCCTGTCTGACACACTTCCCCACGTCATCCCCTGCGGGCCTGCCTGCCTGCCTGCCATCCAGCTCTTCCTCCCTATCATTCTCCTTCTCCCTGGCGGGCGCGCGGAAAAAAGCGGGGCTGCGCGCGGGCGCGCACCTCCTGAGAGCAAGTGGCAGAGCGCGAGGGCGCGCGCGCGAGCGAGCGTCGGAGGGAGCGCGAGACGTGCGCCGGGCTGCCCCGCGCGGGGCCAGGGCTGGCGCGAGGGAGCAGGTGAGCGGGCCCTTCCCTCGCTCCCCCACCGCCTGGCGCCCCTGCGGATGCGGCCATGACCCGGCGTTGGCGGGGCCGGCCTGGCCATGGGCTGCCTGCAGAGCGTGGCGTGCAAGGCGCGGGTGCGGCGGGAGAACATCGTGGTCTACGACGTGTCGGCCTCCATCGAGCCCAGTGCCACCGCCATCGAGGAGACCTCGCCCATCGTGCTCCGCTACCGCACGCCCTACTTCCGCGCCGCCGCCCGCGTCCTCATGCCGCCCATCCCGCGCCGCCACACCTGGGTGGTGGGCTGGATCCAGGCCTGCAACCACATGGAGTTCTACAACACCTACAGCGACCTCGGCATGTGAGTCCTGGCGGGGAGGGTGTGTGTGTCTGTGTGAGGAGAGAGAGCCTCGAAGCGCGAGCGCTCAGGCCTCGCCCGCCCTTGTTCCCAGGTGGGCGCGCGGGGCTGTCAGTCAGTCAGGTGGCACTGCGCATCCCCCTCCGCGCAGGACCCGGGTTCGGTTGCCATGGTGAGGGGAGGGCGCGCGAGCCTGCCTTGCCTTCCTGCCTCCCTTTGGGATATTCCTCAGGGTCACAGGGGAAGCTCATGGCCAGGAGGGGAGGGGCACTGTACATCTCTCAGAGGCCCCTTCCACACAGCTGAATAAATACCTGCTTCGAACTGGGATATGTGATAGTGTGGACTCAGGGCCCTTCCACACAACCCTATATCCCAGAATATCAAGGCAGGAAATCCCACATTGTCTGTGGAGTTTTCTACCTTGATATTCTGGAATATAGGGCTGTGTGGAGGGGCCTTGGGTTATCTGATTCCACATTGCCATATATTCCAGTTCATAGAGGATATTGTGGGGTTTTCTGCCTTGATATTCTGGGATATAGGGCTGTGTGGAAGGGCCCTGGGTTATCTGTGTCCACACTGCCATATATTCCAGTTCATAGAGGATATTGTGGGATTTTCTGCTTCTATATTCTGGGAACTAGGGCTGTGTAGAAGGGCACCCTGGGTTATCTGAGTCCACACTGCCATATATTCCAGTTCATAGAGGATATTGTGGGATTTTCTGCCTCAATATTCTGGGATATAGGGCTATGTAGAAGGGCCCTGGGTTATCTGTGTCCACATTGCCATATATTCCAGTTCATAGAGGATATTGTTGGATTTTCTGCCTTGATATTCTGGGATATAGGGCTGTGTAGAAGGGCCCTGGGTTATCTGAGTCCACACTACCATATATTCCAGTTCATAGAGGGTATTGTGGGATTTTCTGCCTCGATATTCTGGGATGTAGGGTTGTGTGGAAGGGCCCTGGGTTATCTGTGTCCATATTGCCATATATTCCAGTTCATAGAGGATATTGTGGGATTTTCTGCCTCAATATTCTGGGCTGTGTGGAAGGGCCCGCAGAATATCAAGGCAGGAAATATCCACTTTGAACTAGGTTATTTGAGTCCACACTGCCATATAACCCAGTTCAAAGTGATATTGTGGGATTTCCGGCCTTGATATTCTGGGTTATATGGTTCTGTGAAAAGGCCCTGGGCCTCCACACCTACATAGATTTACAGTTCACAGTATGCCTGTAGTGGGGAGGGGGGCTTGAGGGGCTTCAGCCCCCCCTCCCGAAATTCTCAGGGTGGCCCGCTAGAAGGCCTTAGTGGTACATTATTTAAACTGTTATGTTTATTCATATCATGATGTGATCACCATGCTCAATATATCCCATATGCATGGGGGTATTGGGATAATGATACAAAGGTTTGCTAGGGTGGATCCTGAGCCCCCCCAATCAAACTCAGCCCCCCCCCCCCCCCGAATCAAACTCCTGGCTACTGAGTCCACACTGCAGTATAATCCAGTTCAATGAGGATTTTATGCAGCTGGGTGGAAGGGGCCCCAGAATTTCAAGAAAGATAATCACAATATCTGCTTTGAACTGGGTTATCTGAGTCCACACTGCCATATAGTCCTGTTCAATGTGGATTTTGTACAGCTGTGTGGTAGGGGCCTAGGCTTTCCCACCTACACAGAGTTACACTACACAGATCTTGTCATGTTTTGGCATTATTGAATGTCACTGGTTCATTCCATCTTTCTTATAAGAAGGTTCCTTCAGAGGTTCCCAACTCCCCCTTTTTTTTGGCCATAACTCACATAAGGCCCCTTCCTTTTCTCCTTTGAATTGGAATATATGGCAGTGTGGACTCGGGGCCCTTCCACGCAGCCCTATATCCCAGAATATCCAGGCAGAAAATCCCACATTATCTGAGTGTGGACTCAGATAACCCAGTTCAAAACAGATATTGTGGGATTTTCTGCCTATATATTCTGAGAGATAGATCTGTGCAGAAGGGCCAATACATTATCAAGGCAGAAAATCCCACAATATCTGCTTTGAACTGGGATATCTGAGTCCACACTGCCATATATTCCTGTTCACTGTGGATTTTATACAGCTGTGTGGAAGGGGCCTGGGCTCCACCATCTACACAGAGTTACAGTTCACACGTAGTGTTGTGTTTGACATTAGTGAATGTCACTTGTTCATTATGCCTTCCTCCACCTTATTATATTTATATCCTGCTTTTTCTCTCTATATGGAGAATCAAAACTGCTCACATCTAAAAGCACTGCAATATAACTTAAAATATACAAATATACAATTATTCCCTTATTTGCTCAAATTGAAGGCTCGCCTTTTTTTACTAAATTTGTCAGCACATTAGATTCACCTTATAATTTTAGCGGTCTTTCCAAAAACTTTGTATTGTATGCCTTTTTGAGGTGAGTTTTTCCTGATAAGTAGAGAAATCAACTTTAATTGTTTTTCTCTTCCAGATTCTTGCTTGCTTATTGAAGTGCCTATCTTCTCTCATGCCTTTCTTCCATACTTGTCCAAGTCCAGCCAATGACTGTGGAGTCCTCAATTAGGACGTAACACTGTTCCCGTCCAATCCTGACCCTTCTGTAGTCCTACCAACCAAAAGACCTTAAGATCTCAAGTTACATTATTTTTTTTAAAAAAAAACTTTCTCATCTAATACAAAGTATTGAATCTGGCATAGATGGCAGTGCTACCTCTACTGGATTCGGTTGCAGACTGTTTCTTTATATAAAAGTCTGTTGATCCATAATACTTTCTTTTCCCTGTATACTTTGCCTTTATAATAGGACAATGGATGGTCAAACATAGGGATCAGCAGCATTGCACGTGGAGTAATCTTGCTGATATTTTAAGGCTCTGTAATAATACTGCCTGAGTAGCTATTAAGCTTGTTTAGGATCTAGTCAAGCAGAAATTGTATCAAGCTTTAATGCCTAGTGAGACGACTTCTGTTTATGTAGGCTTTTCCTGCTCAGCAATAATCATTACTGTTCTGTTATGTATTTGTATTAGAGGGTTTTAAAAAGTCATAATTACTTCCCATGAGTGCCATAGATGTTGTGTGGCCTAAAGGTTGCTTGTAAGTCGAAGTTCTAGATTGTAGAGTTTGTCTAGGGATGGAGATAATTTAAGGAAAATGTAGACAAAAGCAAATGTTGTTCTGTTTTTTTCTTCCTTTTGCCCTAGATTAAGTTTATACCAAACCCTACTTGTCTAAATGCCTGATACAGATTAAAAAATTTGCCTTATGCGGTGGAAAACAATCAGCTGTGTGGTCCAATTTAGATAAACTATGGATTGAGAGGTACCTTCTGAGTGAGAGCTAGGTGTATGTAGATTCAATATGATGCCCTGATCCACAGGACTGGTTTCATTTGTCCACATCTGACAAAATATGTCTTCTCTGGACATTTTCTACATCCTCTGGCATGACTCTGGTATTCTTGGGCCAAATGTCCTTCATTTCAATGGAATTTGCTGTTATCTGTGGTTTCAAGTATCCATGCAATGCCTGGGAATGTTTTCCCTGTGAATAGGGGTATGTACTGTATTGCTTACTGTGTGTATTGCATTGAATAGGTTTCAGTCGGCTCATTGTCTGTCTCAGAACAGATCATTTACCAACCCTTGTTCTGAGGTTCCACTGATACAGCTCATGAACATCAGTATCTTCCAGAGCATCAAGATTGGCTGCTTTTACTCACAGTCACCTAGCCTCTCACACCAGAAACGACTTGCAGTTTCTCAGGTCGCTCCTGATACGACAAAAAAACAAAACCCTAGCCTATAGCTCAGTGTTTCTCAACCTGGGGGTCGGGACCCCTGGGAGGGTCACGAGGGGGTGGCAGAGGGGTCGCAAAAGACCTTTGAAAACACAGTATTTTCTGTTGGTCATGGGGGTTCTGTGCAGGTAGTTTGGGCCAATTCTATCATTGGTGGAGTTCAGAATGCTCTTTGATTGTAGATGAACTATAAATCCCAGCAACTACAACACCCAAAGGTCAAGTCTATTTTCTCCAAACTCCACCAGTGTTCACATTTGGGCATATTGAGTATTCATGCCAAGTTTGGTCCAGATCCATCATTGCTTGAGTCCACAGTGCTCTCTAGAGTTAGGTGAACTACAACTCCAAAACTCAAGGTCAATGCCCACCAAACCCTTCCAGTATTTTTTTCTTTGTCATGGGAATTTGTTTCAGTTCCATTGTTGTTGGAGTTCAGAGTGCTCTTTGATTGTAGGTTAGCTATAAATCCCAGCAACGACAACTCCCAAATGACAAAATCACCCCCCGCCCCAACCCCCACCAGTATTCAAATTTAGGCGTATTGGGTATTTGTGCCAAATTTGGCCCAGTGAATGAAAATACATCCTGCATATCAGATATTTACATTATGATTCATAACAGTAGCAAAATTACAGTTATGAAGTAGCAACGAAAATATTGTTATGGTTGGGGGTCACCACAACATGAGGAGCTGTACTAAGGGGTCGCAGCATTAGGAAGGTTGAGAAACACTGCTTAGCTTCTCAAACTTTTCATGTTCCTTTCCACCTGAGCATTTTTTTACATATATAGGTACATATGAGTCCCTTTCTGGAGAGGGAGCAGGATATAAATAAAAACAACTTCTTCTTCTTCTTCTTCTTCTTCTTCTTCTTCTTCTTCTTCTTCTTCTTCTTCTTCTTCTTCATATTATTATTATTATTACTATTATATAGAATAGGTATAAAATTGAATATGTGCTGATAACAAATTACCATTTGCAAGCTTTGCTAAAGCTTTACATTTTTGTGTAGTGAAGTTGAAGCATTTTCTGCAGAGTCCACTGTAAACACTGCACGTTGTTGCTAATAGAATTGTGGAAATGTCTAGGTGGTTTTCAGAAACCTTTTCCTGTTGCCAAATGTTCATGATTTCAACATTATGACCCGGCCCAAAAATGATAATTATGCATGGTCTTAAAGTTTCTTAGGTTTATTTTTTTGGAAGATCTCACAATTGTCCTTGCAATAGAGCTGAAGCTCACCTTTGCAAAGAGACACATTCACATCTGTTTACAAAAACTCAGCTAACCCTTGCCTTTTGGTGAGAAACAGTCATAAAGGACCAGGACAAGTGCAGCTGTGGCTAGAGACATGTTTTCAAGTATGCTATCAATTTTTCCAAGCAATATTTACTGAAACCTATCTAGGTAACTGTCTTCTAATTAGGAATTACACTCAGCATTAAAATGATCAAGGGTCTGGAGAACAAGCCCTATGAGGAGCGGCTTAAAGAGCTGGGCATGTTTAGCCTGAAGAAGAGAAGGCTGAGAGGAGACATGATAGCTATGTATAAATATGTGAGAGGAAGTCACAGGGAGGAGGGAGCAAGCTTGTTTTCTACTTCCCTGGAGACTAGGACGCAGAACAATGGCTACAAACTACAAGAAAGGAGATTCCAGCTGAACATTAGGGAGAACTTCCTGACTGTGAGAGCTGTTCAGCAGTGGAACTCTCTCAAAAGGCTCCTCCTTTTGGAAGCTTTTAAACAGAGGCTGGATGGCCATCTGTTGGGGGTGCTTTGAATACAATATTCCTGCTTCTTGGCAGAGGGTTGGACTGGATGGCCCATGAGGTCTCTTCCAACTCTATGATTCTATGATTCTATAACATCTAAATGGGAAGACATGCTGACTGCCTGTTATGAATCGCTAACAAACTGATAGCTTCCTTCTCTAAAACATAAATTCCGAAAAGAGGTAAACTGCAACTCTCCAATAGTGGACTACAAATGCTCTTTTTTCCATTCACCACTGTGCTTCATGAAGCCAAATGGAAAATTGGGTACTTGTAATTTTGTATACACCCTCTGCTTTATCTCAGTTGTTTCTAGTAACCATAGCAACAAAATCTCCAGCCACAGTTTTAATCGGTTTGTTTAAGCGTGACTCTGCTGGATTGGGACCCTAATGAGGCCTGATGGACTTGTAATTCCTCCTCAGTCATCCGAGTCTCTTTCTGAGTAAGTGCAGCAGCCATAGAAAATGTGTAGAAAATTAGAGTGTATGGTAACAGAGATCCCACCCATCACTGATGAATTTCTCCTACAGTACCAAAAGGCAGCCAAGGTGATGGTGATAGTATAGGGAATAATACTTGTGTAAGGCTGTTCATCCACATTCAGCTTGGTGGACCACATATTCTGCAAGCCATTTATGAACATTTAATGTGAATGACAACTTGCTCACAAACGTTTTTTATGCAGCATGAGTGTACCAGCTATTTCTGTGCTGGGCATCTTCTCTGAAGGCTGTGTGTTGCTTGGCAATGATGAAGCTATTTGGGATTTGAATTGTTTGCTCTGTGCAAGGAACAACCTGGAAAAAATCACCAAGTGCAGGTATTTCAAGCAGTCTTGTTAGAGTTATAACTAAGTCAGAGATATACAAACAACCCCATTTAAAGTGTGATTTAAATGGACGTTAGATGATGTGTGGTGCTGCTGAATGGAGACCAGAAGTTACAAGGAGACTTGTATTTTCAAAATTGTGAAACAGACTTCATTACCATTCCCCTTTACAGCAAAATTCCAGCTGATATGTAATACTATACCAGTTTACAATATTTAAGAGTTTGTAGAATTTCTTCTCCATAATATTTCAAGACAGCAGTAGGCAGAAAAGATCTTCCCACCATTTTTACAGCTTTCTGATTTTGCAGCATCTTTCCTGATGAAGAGATTTGAATTTCCTGAAAGGTTGTTGACAAGTAGTTCCCTTCACCATGTTATTATGTTTACACTCTCAGAATTTTGCCAGTCTCAAGCACTCCCATCAACTGTATATGGATTTGGATCTAATTTCTGTTAGGGCAACTGACCAGTTACTGGGAAACAGGATACTGGGTCTTTGGTCTAATCCATCACAATTCTTCTTTTGTTGTTATGAGTAGCCAGTGCTGTCCAATTTAATTAAGTTATTGGTGTTTTGTTTATTTAGTTAGCCAGTTAAAACATATCCGCCCAGGCAGATTCCGTGTAGTCAAGGAAAACAATATAATAACCTGATGTGAAAGAAAGAGAAGATGTGGGGGAGTAGGCAAGCAAGTTTCCTTTCAGAAGGGCATTGCTTCCAATCTCACCTCCCTCTGTTACAGACAACCAGAATGGTTCCCTAGAGTAACTGTTGAGGGAAAAGCCTGATGGAAGTGAGAGAGAGAGAGAGAGAGAGAGAGAGAGAGAGATCTCTCTCTCTCTCTCTCTCTCCCAGGATTGAAATATATACAGTGGTTCGTGTCAATTCAGGCATTGTGTCACAGAGCTTGATAGTGAGAAGGAGCTTCACTTCATAGCATACTGCAGATGTGTCCTGGTTGTGAAACGCTGGTTCTTGTCTCATGAAGTAAATACCTAGACCAATTTTTTGAACTTAAGTAGAATAATGTTTAACCTAATTTGAGAGTGTCAACAAACATTTGAGATGTATTCTGTTTGGCAACTTTTTGGAGTTTTGTTGAGGATGTGCTTTTGAGACCTTGCTGAGTATCTCAAAGGCTGAAGGAGCAGTGAACAAGCAGTGAGCATGAATTGGCATAATTGTGATAATGAAGGCACCTTGACAGACTAGGTATCTACATAGGAAAGCTCTTGCAACAATAATTATTTTTTGTTTTGCAAGAGTCTTTGTTACTGCAGCTACAAGTGGAATAGAAGCTGTGAAGTTCTTGCATTTGAGGAGGCGCCCTACAGTTCTGATTATATGGAGTGATTCAAGTTACTGGAAGAAGCCTGCATTTGTAAAACAGGTCTCCTCCTGTAATTTAATTTTATAAATTAATGATGATCAAGTCCAGAAAATCCCTTGAAAGCTGGAGGACGTTTCTTTTGATTGCAATGTGTAGCTACACCCCCCCCCCCCCCCCATGTCTTATAATTGCCTGCCTTGAGCATAAAACTTACACATGATATTTTCAGTAGGCTGAAAAACAATCAAATATTTCAAATTCAGCTTGTATCCAGAGCTTTATAAAATTATTAAAATAGTTTGGGAGAACATGGAGGATTTTTCTAAGTTAGCCAGGCTTGTTTCTTGCACTCAAATTGCAAAAGCAAGTCTCTATTTCCCTATCTACCAAAATGTTAAAGTTAAAGGAAGCTGGAAGGAGATATTGTATTGCATAACTTCTGGAAGTGGGAATTATGCCAGAGAGCAAATGTTAGAGAGGACAGTCAGTCGTATATCCAAATGGAGTGTTTCACTTTTCTCCAAAGGAACAAATGGCAACAATTTATTCACAGGGAGTTCTTGGGACCAAGGATGGAATGAATGATAAACTTTGGTTGCTGTGAGTTTTCTGGTCTGAATAGCCATGTTCTAGAAGCATTCTCTCCGGATGTTTTGTCTACATCTATGGCAGATATCCTCAGAGGTTGTGAAGTCTGTTGGAAACTAGGCTAGTAGAGTTTATATATCTGTGGAATAATGTCCAGGGTGACAGAAAGAACTCTTGTCTGTTGGAGACAAGTGTGAATGTTGCCATTGGCCACCTTGATTAGCAGTCAAGCAAGCAAGCAAGCAAAGCTTTCTGACTTTGTTGGGAGGTGTTAGCTGGCCCTGATTGTTTCCTGTCTGTAATTCCCCTTATTTCTGAGTGTTGTTTATTATTTGCTCCCTCAATTGAAGGACCTCCTTTTCCAGTGTCAGGGTGGGCTTATCCCACTTTCAACCAGTTGGTAACGTTGTTCACAACCAGTTGGGTTTGTTTACATTACAGTGTGATAGGATATTGTGAAATTATGTAGAAATTGATCAAAACCTGTATAAGGTCTCTGAGAGTGTTTAATATGCTAGCATTGCTGAAGGTGTAGAGTGCCATCAGTTTTTCTGCCTTATAGGACTGTTGCAAAACTGCAAATGTTGTGATATTGGTTGTGTACGAAAACCACAGGCTGCCTGAATATATTTGTGTAGCATGATGTTTGCTGGTACTATGGTTTAAAGCCTCTTACTTTGGTTCCTTTGCCATTTACATTAGCACTCCTCAGAGGCTGGAGAACTACCTTTAGACTCAGCATGAAACATAGGATCCATTTCCAAGTAAAACATTTTTACTGTTATATGTAGCTGCTTCCTCCTCTTTCTCCTCCTGCTGTATATCTTCTACCTTTTCCTACTCTTAAAAATCCTAGTTTGGAAAATTGTAAGTGCTGCTTCTGTTTGAGAAATTGCGCTTAATAATGTTTTTTGCTGCTTCTCTCATATGTTTGTCTGCTTTACTTTTCTAGGTCAAGCTGGGAACTTCCAGATTTAAGGGAAGGACGTGTGAAAGCCATCAGTGATTCTGATGGAGTGAGCTACCCTTGGTATGGAAACACCACAGAAACAGTGACCTTGATTGGCCCCACTAATAAGGTCTCCAGGTTTTCAGTCAGTATGAACGACAATTTCTACCCTAGTGTAACATGGGCTGTCCCTGTGAGTGACAGCAATGTGCCACTACTAACCAGGATCAAACGGGACCAAAGCTTTACCACGTGGCTTGTAGCTATGAACATGACCACAAAGGAAAAAATTATCTTGCAGACTATAAAATGGAGGATGCGAGTGGACATTGAAGTTGATCCCATGCAGATCTTGGGCAAGCGAGCCCGGTTGGTGGGGAGGACTCAACAGGAACAGCCCAAAATTCTGAGCAGAATGGAACCAATTCCACCAAATGCACTAGTGAAACCCAATGCCAATGATGCCCAGGTCCTCATGTGGAGGCCCAAAAGAGGCATGCCTTTGGTAGTGATACCACCCAAGTAGAGGACATAGAGGACTATACAAGTGAGAACTTTTGCCACCGCTGGTGTTAAATCTGAGCCAAAGAAGACCTCTCAAGTTCACCTGCTTGTTGCAGCTGTAAGTGGAAAGAGGGCTTCTTCAAGACAGTATTATATGTCTATGGCCAGTGCTGTGCCACAGCGAAAAACCTAGATCTGGGGATGCTGGAAGATGAAATGAAGCTGTTTCTCCCTTCAAGAGTTTCTCATGGAGAAAATGGCACACTGAAATATTTTGATCACAAGTGTTATTTCCAGTGCCTGTGGCTAATGCTGCTTCCCAGCCAATTAGATGTAGTTATGGAGGTCATTCTTACCAGACATTCATGGATTTCTAGTATGTTGCTTATTACTGGGGAATAGGATAGGAAGGGATGGCATATTACCACAACATTATACCTATGCATTTTTATTGATAATCAGAATTATTGCCCTGCTCATTGGAATGAAAGGAAAGTTTGTGAAGCAGGAACGACAGTGCTGACTGTTGAGCTTCACGCCTCTAGAAAGAAAAGCCCTGTTCACATGGAACTGTCCACGGTGCTGAACTAAAGCACAACCCGAATTACCAGTAATATTGTCCACTTTTCCTCTTTCAGGGGATAATTTATTTGGACTAATGGCGTTAAGACCTTTTGCATGTTTCTCAGTGTGTTTCAAGTAGTTGTAAGTGTAGGAATTTTGCCATAGTTGTCCATGTTGTGGGGAAAATACAAGGTAAATCAACATTGCTGTTTCCAGACAGCATTCCCTACTTCTGTTTTTGTCAAGGAACAAAATATGGTCTGCACACAGCATGTTTGTTCAGCAAGGAGAAAGAAATTATTAGTTATGTTTGACATGGGTAGAACGATGCTACTCACTGAGAATACTGAAAAACAGGAGGAACAAATTACCTTTAAAACATGATCAGTGAGAAATATTAAAAACCCAGTATATCTCCATCCCACTGCCTATAATATCTCATCTTTCAAATGGTGAAGGAGGAACCCTCAAAGGGAGAACAAATATGGAGAAAATTCTTGGAGCATAAGCACTTAACGAAATCTTGCAAGGCTAGATGATACCCTCAGGCTATCTTCTAGAATTGAATTTTTGTAAATGGAAAGTTCCCATTTTGCAAATAGCTTTGAAAGGTTAATTTTAATCTTTCTCTTTATTTAAAGAGAATACATCGTCATATACTGGATAGTGAGCACTGGAAGCTAATGGGACTCACTTTTGACATCTTCTTAAGCACTTGTTGTCAGATTAGTAGTATGTCTGATTATTATGATGAGTGAAAGTATGCCTACAACCCATATTATAGCCGGAGGAGTGCTTTCAGTCTCTTTGTGTTACTATACTATTGTTGACTTTAAAGCTACACCTCCTATGGGAATTTTACAAAAGGTAGTGCAGAAAGTGGTACACTTCATGGAAGCTCTGTGTATAGTTTTTTTGGTCCATACACAGTTTGGGGCATTAACAGCATTGAGAACAAAGGAGATTATTTTGAAAACTGAAGAAAATCAGAAATACTGCTGATTTCTTCAACTACATAATAGTGGGTCATAGTTCTATGGCTAGTAGCTATTGCATCAATATGAAGATAAGGCCAATCAACCAAGATTTGTGATGTGTTTAAACACTTTTAGGAATTATTACATGCAGAATCCATGTAGGTACAAAATGTATGGTATGCTAACACATTTTTTGCATCAAGCCAGTAGCATTGGAGATTGTCATTCTTATGTAAGCAGAGATTAGCACTTCCAAAGAAAACGATGCATTTTTCACTGAGGTGGTTGTGCTCTTTCTCCATATGTATATATATACGATGCACTAATAGTAGCCTGTTGATCTGTCATTAGCTAGGTCTTCACTATGAACTATTTGGGCATCTGAAACACTATTTTGTATGAGTGGAATCTTTGGGGTGGGAGGACAAAATTCCTGGCAATCTTACTAAAATTACATCATTGTTTTTGATAATGCTTCTTGGCATATCATGACAGGAAGCCCGAGGTAAAAGTGTGTGTAACCTAGCATTAGCACTAGTTTTGGATTTGATCTCAGTACTTGAACTTCCTTGTCTTCAGGTCAGCTACACAACACGTTTCTTCTGTTGATTTGGATTGTTGCCATCATTCTGCTTCTTTGTAATGCTTTTAATGATCCTGCTTATCTCAGATTCCATACACTTGTTCTATGAAGCTCTTGATTCCACACTGGCCAAACGTATAAGGACTGCTGTGCATCCATGGGCAGGCAAGCCTTATTCCCATGGCTAGTTCCTTTGGAAGATTATGCGAAGTATTTTGAACTTGAAGAAGCTGCTAAACAAATGGTGTTATTAAGCCATGGATCTACATATACTAGGGCAAACACTACTGAAATTACTTGAGTCTGCCATATAATAATTAAGGGAATGAAATATACCGCTGTGCCATCTGCTGTGAAATTTACTGCCACACAGAGTACACGCTCTGTGTGACACCTTTGTTGTAGCAAGTTTCAAAGAGCTGTGTTGCATCATTCTTTACCTACAATATAATAGATGGCATGTTGATTGATACTAATTAGACTAATATTAGCTTTGTATGAATTACCCTCTAGAAATTCACTCAACACTGCTGAATTCCCATAGGAAGCTTGCCTGATTCTAGAACATCATGTTAATACTGTCCTACCACCCACATTGTTTTGAGTTTTGCTCCACTGATTTTCTTTTGCATGATACATACTTTGTCATCCTAATAGTGAGTTAGTTTGCAGTCATTGTGGAAGTCAGAATTCTCTACTTAACCTTGCACAATGACCAAACCCTCCCATTTAGACCGCCCTTTTACCTAAAGCAGTTCCCCAACTGGGTTGTGGGACTATAGATTTCAGCTATAGTCCTATTGCTGAACACACATCAATTGTGTTATCTTCCAGGACCCCTGAAGGACCCTCAGGTGGTCCAGAAGAATGCCTTGTTGCTGTGTTCTTCTCTAGATGGTAAATGGTTGTTTTGGGGAGCCTGAAGCAGGTAAAAAGTGAATTTTGGAAATGGTAGGTAGGATATAGTATAGTCTTGCCTCATAGAATTTAATGCTATGTCTCTCTGATCCAGGATTTTAGCCATGAACTCATGAATGCTTGAAAAAATAGGGATGGAATTGGGAGAATATGAGACTACCAAATTCTATGCCTTCTAAAAAATTGATTTAAGTTGTGTCAAGCTCAGCTTCGCTTAGGTCACCTCATATTATTTTTATTGATGGGTTTCTGTTTACACTTGACACATGCTGAGCTTTGGGACGGAGACCAAAGTCTTTCTGCCTAATTTCCCCAGGTTTCAATGACCTGTGCCTTTGCTTGGCCCTGGCTAGGATTAATTGCTGTTCTCCATTACCTCAGAAAACAAATAGCTAATTTAGGATATGTAAAGCTCTGGCAGACTGCACAGTCTATTTCTGTGAGCATTCTGAGACTATGAGGAAACTTTCCTAATTTCTTTCCTTTTAAGAAAAAGAGGAGCACTATTTTAATAGCTCATTGGAAATGAATGGTCAAAAGTATGGATGAAAACAATTGGATGGTGTCATACAAAAGGAGGGACACCACATATTCAACTGCCACAAATGCAACATTTCTTTGATGTCAGTTTTTGAATATCTTGAGTGAAAGCTGATAGTCTTCTTTGGTGCATTTTAGAAAAACTTAATTGGAAGGAGGTGCAGAAACATTCAAGATCCATTTAATATATAATTTCCCCAGATTTAACATTTCTTCTGTTATGTGTTATCAACAGTAATGCCTGAGATGGAGAACCGAGGTGGTTGACTGGTTCGAAATGTAGATATTGGAGGATTGAAGGCTGATTAACCCAGTGCACTCAAGAAGTGATTCTAAACTAGCCATCCTGAGCGCAGGATAATCCATTCTTGTCTCCCTGGAAAAAAAATACTTCCTTCCCTCTGTGAAAGGCAGAAGGTGCTTTCCATGGGGGAAGGAAGTCTGACAGAGTTTGGTTTCCTTGACAAGAATACCCAGAATGTATTAATTCTGGTCATGGGTATACCTTGATGTTTTGGCAGTGCATGTGATAGAGTCACATTGCTCATTGGGGTGGACATTGATTATATTCCTTGCATCACATGGCCTTGCTACTCATTGAGTATGAGAGAGCAGCATTGCATTTCCAAGCCAAGCCTAGGGTGTAGAGCAGTCCTGCACAAAACTTGTGGCCTTCCAGGTATTTTGAACTTCAGCTCTCAGAATTCTTAACCACTGGACAAGCTGTCTAGGACTTCCAAGAGTTGGAATCCCAAACACCCGGAGGGTCACAGGTTGTGCAGACCTGGCGTAGATGAACAGATCATTGCTTGGGTTGAATCCCAAAAAGAATTCAAGGTTATCAAGGTGTATTTCAGGGATTAATGTTATAGAATAGAAGTGGTAGCTCTTAAAATATATCATGCATTTTAGAAAGTATGTTCCTGAGTGTGATGTATTTATAGAGGGAACATTTTTTAGTAGTATTGCGTTGGCTAGTTGGCTCATATCAGAGGAAAACCCAGTCAAAACTGGTCACCTGTCCCAGGGCATCCCATGAAGTTGTTCTAATACTTTAAGCTGTACAAAGTGAGGTGCTTTCTTCTCGATAGTAAAAAGGATAATAAAACAAAGTATGTTGCAACATGCAATTTGTTGGTATTGATAAAGCATTTGGCAGGGATTGGCTAGTAGCATCATAGGAATCTTGGGCAGTGAAAAGACTATTTGAGCTATTCCAATCTTAGACATGGCTGTCAGACAAGTTACAGGAAAGGCATGGAAGAGTCAGGGGCTTGAGGAGGCAACTGCTCAATAGGAAAGAGGAGGTGTGTGTTCAGATCATGTTTGCAAGAGCTGCAAATGGTCTGAGTCCTTATTTCAGGAGCAGCTAGAGTGGCAAGCATCCCTCTAATGATCTCGACATAGCTTTTACATATGACCAAGACATTCTAATACTGAGGAAAGTTGTAACACCCCCCTCCCCCAAATGGTGAATCATGCCCCAAAACCTTTGGTGGACAAGAGTTGCTAGTGTTTGTAAATTGATCATATGTCCCTTTTAGGTCAGAATAAAGCCTTGCATGCAAAAGTTGCTATTCCGCCACTTCCTGTTTTGAAAGCAGTCTGAAAGATACCTGAAATTACATTTTTGGGTTAACCTTTCCCCCAAAGAATCATGGTTGTGATGTTGAGCAAAATAACCAACAGATCCGTCAAGGTTGCCCAGCCCTGCCTTTCTGTTTCATGTTGTCCCTTTAGTTGCTCTTTTAGAAGGGTGCAGAAGATATGGTTTGTCTAATACTGGTAGAACTCAAAGTGGAGTGGAATCATGGATTTGTTAATTTCCCATTTTTCCCTGATCTTTTTATTTTTGTTTTTTGAGGACTGCAAGAAGTATGCTTCTGGGAAGGGAAGCTAAGGTAGAAGAAAAGTATATGTGGCAAACATTGGTCAAGAGAGCTGAAATTCATACTGACTTGAAGTAACTAGCCAGATCTTTGACATCAGTACTTCTTGTAGTCATAACATCTAATATCAACCGCAGGCAACCTTTTGAGTTTACCTTTCAACTAAATAGGTAGCATGGTTACTTGTAAGGGAAGAAAACTTTCATCATCCCAGAACTGTTGGGAAATAGAGTCTAATAAAGTCATTTTTAAGAATAGATGTGGCAGTCTTAATGCCTTCTAAATTAATTTTAGAAGCAGCAAAAAATAGGTGTCGGTGACTGCAGCAATAGAGCAAGGAATTGAATAGTCTTACTTTGGACAGAGTTTCATTGTGTATGTGCTAGAAATCTATATAAACATAAAAATAACAAGTATAAGCTTTAATTTGGATACAATGAATTAGTGCATTATTAAGTATCTACCAACTATTTTAAGATTGTGGCTGAGAAAGAGCCTCCATTCTACATAGCCCAATGACTTTTTGTGCCTCAGTTAAGAATGAATATTGTCACAATAGAGGTTACTAATTCTATTATTTTGGTTTTTGTCTTGGGAGCTGACACAACAGCTGAGATATTTGTGGCTCTGGCACTTTCTGCCTTCCTCCTTTCTTCTTGCTACTTCTTCCTTGGCACAGCTTTCAACTTGTGGCCTGTTACAGTTTAGATTATATAAGGTAACCCATAGGAAACTCGTATAGGTTGGAACCTTCCTTGGGAGAAGGCCTTTCTCGCCTTGCTATTCTGAAGCATGTATCTGAAGCTATCAGTTGACCATATGTGTGATTCCCCCAAAGGGTGAGGCATCTTTACTCTCAGGGAAGAACATGGGGGCTAGACCACAGATTGGGAATCCAGACATTTTCTCCGCCTGTGAAACTGGATTAAAAGCGCCTCCAGTGTCTTGGTTCCTTTTAGCACATGTCCACCTTCACATTTGTGCCTCTGTGCCACCAGGTCCTTGCTCCTGGGGGGAATTGTTGCATTGGATTCTGAGCCGAATGACTCCTGTTGCAGCAGCCCGGGCTGACTGGTGATAGACAGAGCAGGAAGAGGCTCTTCCTCTGTAGATAGATTTCTAAGGGCATTGGCTGTCACATAGTGTCCATCCTGTGAAGGATTCCCTGTGGGTACTCATTGATCCATAGAGGTCTGTGCTTGTAATTCCAGCAGAAGAATCCCTTTCCCCTTTTGCAGGAGAGCTGTCATCTGTATTTGCTGAAAGGGAGCAGCCCTCCCATATTGCATTCTGTGTAACTTTACACCAAATTCTGTACTTGCATCCATGTTCCACATCAGGGGAACATGTACTCTGGATTGTAATATCAACTGTTTTAAACTACAAGACAATATACACTACTTTTGTTTATTGATTGATTGTTTTTGACTGAACTTTTCACCCCCTGAGCAGTCCCCTGATTCCAGTCCTTACAGTAAATGTCTACTGTTTGCATTGAAACAAATCACTAAACTTAGCGCACAGGAAATGCCTTTCTCACATATACAACTTAATGTCTTAAGCTTCCATCTTGTTTTTAATTCTTTGTTTGCACCACAATTAGCAGCTATGAACAAAAGCCGTAGTAAACTGGGAATGAGAACAAATAGAGAAACTTACATCTGTTTTCTTCAGGCCATGGTTCTCCTTTCATGTTTTAATCTGGACTTTCTAGAAATTCTCCTTTTTACTCCTTTGTAGATTTTTTCCTTTCACTGCCTTTACAGTTGTTAGCAGTTTCCATTGATACTGACAGGAATAGAAACTAAAGTCAGCTTGGAACTAAAACCCCAGGTCAAGACTGAAAGAAGAAAGCTGTTTTGCAGAGTGCCTTAAAACAACACTGACATTAACTGAAGGCAGGGAAAAGGAGTAGAAGCGCATTGCTCTTTATCTGTGGATTTTCCAAAGGCTCGATCAATGTGGCATTCTATTTCTCTGGGATTTGAAGAAATGTTAAATACATGACGCATTGCAAATAGAAGTCCACGTCCATTATTTATATGGGATGGGGTAAGTTTAAATTTGAAATATACAAAATTGACAATACCATTTGGGAAGAGAAAGAAGGGTTTCCACTTGAGCTTCTTGGTGTAGCTAGCAGGAAAAAAATGGATCAAACTAGACAAGCCTTACAACGTTTGCTTACTGAAAACCTTTGATTTAACTCAGTTTGACATTTCCCTTTGATTTTTTGCAACAGTTTCTCTCAAGTACTTAATCAAAGGTACTCAAATATGATGTTCAATTTACACATAATGTGGGAGGAACTATAATATGATTTGCAATTTCCAACTCATTGTTTTTCCAGTGATTTGATTTTTAAGGATCAATCCATTTGAGTTCAGAGTTGGGGAAACATTCAGTCTTTAACTACAGCGACAAGGTGAAAAAGATGAAATGCACCAAATGGCAGGATTTTTGCTGCAAAAGAAAGTAGTACACTTGGAATAGTGCCCAAAGCTTTTCTAAAAGGACTAGAAAAGCACATTGATGCCAGAGTAGTGCCACTCAATGGAAGATGCTCTGTGTGCGCTGAAAGAAAGAAAGAAACTACTGTTGTCAATGGACACTCACAAGTTCTTGGTACATCAGATATCTTGAGAAGCATGGATCTAAGGAGAAGGGTTGTATATTAAATACTATGTTTCTGAGTCTCCCAGAATACATCATCTCCATAATAACTGCTATCGGGGTGATTATCTGGAAAATGCACAACAGATAAATAACTGCATATCTGTTCTGGCAAAACTGTTCTGTCATTGGAAACAGGGGATACCGACATTCACAAAAGTGGGGTGGAAAGTAAGAGAGACTATGTTCAGCTTGATCTGAATGCGGAGTTGAGATTTTATGTAGAAATTCAAACCTGAATTATAGATTGAAAAATGCAAATGTGGTGGTGTCTTAAGAAACTAGGCTGAAAACTGCCTTTTCTTCTGGTTGGCATTTCAGTACCATCCTTGATTGTAACAGCATTAAACAACTATTATGCTGTGGACCTGAGCCTTACCTTTCTTTCTAGACTTACGGTGATGTGGTACCATTATAAGCACAAGCTCCTATTGCTCAAATTGAACACCAAGCATGCTTGTCTAATGGAAAATTACATAAATTGTGTTTATAAGTCTCAAGCACTCTTCCCTTTAGTGAACAAAACTTTATATGATGTAACTACCTCAATAACTAAACCTAGTTCTAGCTCTCATGAAGGATTAAGCACTCAATTTGATTTTCTGCATACAACTTTCGTTCTTTTGATAACTCCCAGGACATGCACCCACAGGCAAATATTTATATATTTTAATCCACCTGAACAGGTTGGTTTGTAGAGGTTTCCTGTCAGCAAGAGAACCAAAAAGGCAATTGGAAAGGAGCAATATACTCCTTCATTTTCACTCTGCTGGATTTGGAGGATAGGAAAATGATCAGTCCCTGGAGAGAAGCCAACAACAAGATAGAATCATAGAGTTGGAAGAGACCTCATGGGCCATCCAGTCCAACACCCTGCCAAGAAGCAGGAATATTGCATTCAAATCACCCCCAACTGATGACCATCCAGCCTCTGTTTAAAAGCTTCCAAAGAAGGAGCCTCCACCACACTCCGGAGCAGAGAGTTCCACTGCTGAACAGCTCTCACAGTCAGGAAGATGTTCCTAATGATGAAGCCACTTTATTTCCCAGGAATGCCCCTTCACTTCTTAGGGTTCCTTGGAAGGATATGTACTTCTTGGGAGAGCACAGGAGCAGATATTCCTACAACAGAAGTATTGTCTTGGGAGGCAACAAATAAGTTTTATGACCAACACATTCTGACAAGTGTGGTGACCTGAAAATGCAGACTAGGAGGTTGATTCCATACTGTCACAGAGTCCTCATTACACAGCTCTGCTCAGCACTTTCAGAGAGACAGATGTGATAAAAGAAAATCAACCTTCTGCCACATTTGTCCTGTGTTTTAAAAGGACTCAGACATTAATTACATATGGCAATTAACAAAAACTGAAAAATACAACACATGCAAAATGTTTTCGGTTCCACCTTCTTTCATTGCTTAAGATGAAATTGAGCTGCATCGAAGGTGACTGCTGAGACACTCCAGCATTCGTAATGGAGGATTTATCTTCTAGGTTGAGACTTTGTGACATTAAGGTCTTAAGTTTACACATTCAGATACTGTTTTGTCTAATGTGTCTGAAAGAAAAGACCAAATGGAGATAAATCAGATAGGGAAGTTCTGATGCCCCATCTACGCTGCCATATAATGCAATGTGAAGCTGCATTATATGGTCAGTGTAGAGACTCATATAATGCGGTTCAATGTACTTAAACTGCATTATATGAGTCTACACCAGTGGTTCCCAACCTTTGGTCTTCCAGGTGTTTTGGACTTAAGTTCTCACAATTCCGAACAGCTGGTAAGCTGACTGGGATTTTTGGGAGTTGAAGTCCAAAAGAACTGGAAGACTAAAGGTCTACACTGACCATATAATGGCATATAATGACCATATTATGGCATTTCAAACTCTACTATATGACAGTGTAGATGGGATCTAAGTTGACCAATGGCTGCAAAATACTGTATTTAGGCCAGAACTTTTGTGCCTTTCCAGGCCACAATAGAAGCTCTTCTTTGAAATCCCATCCAACACATAACATACATCAGGATTACTTTAGAATAGATTGGTTCTAGATGTATTGTTTGGCCCTGCTCTTTTTGTGAGACTGGTAGCTAACTGTGGGGACTAAAGGTTGCTTGGTGACGACCCACTTAAGCTGTGCTGAAAGAGTATCCTAAAACGGTCTCCGCTTGGGTTTTTATTTAGCTTGTTAGCAAACACATCCCTTAAAATTAATTGCACCTTTTCCAATAGAATATGTTTCTACTTCTTTTCTCTGCCTCTCAAGGAAATATGAATAAGGAATATGCACAGATATAATCAGCCATTAGTTGTTTTATTGTCCCATGTTGAATTAAGTCTGAAATCTCCTCCTACGCTCCACTTCAAGATGGCAAGTAAAAGCAGACTTTGTAATTTCACCCTCATGTATTTTCTCTTGCCTGCTGCCTCCCCACATTTTGCTTAACTCTCAGTTTGATGAAGAAGACACATGGAAAACGTCAAAAGGTACAACACAGTGACAAGCTTCTCAAAAATGGGGACTTAGTTGAAGAGCAGAGTCAAGAGAATCCTATTTCTCTGTAGTTCCTGACAATCATGTAAAATAATAACAGAAGATCAGATCAAGGAAGCCACCAACAAAGGTAAGGAGTTTACATTATCTGTGATTAATAAGCAGATTGAAGGACGTTGTATAGCACAAGTTACTCATGGAGTTACTTGTCACAAGAAGACTTAATTTGGAAAATGGAAGTTTGATCCAAAAGGTGATGAGAAAAGGGGATAGGGACACACACTATTGTAAACCAACAATATGTGTAATTTGAAATATTTCTCTCAAGTCCCAAATTGAGTTGGCTTCTGTTTTCATTTTAACACAATAACCCAATGCTGTTTTTAAGGAAACCATTATTATTATTATTATTATTATTATTATTATTATTATTAAACTTTATACCCCCTGCCAAATCTCCCCTCAGGGACTTGGTGCGGCTAACATGAGGCCAAGCCCAACAAGTACAGTAAACAAATACGGAAAAATGGTTTAAAATTGAAATAAAATTAAAATTAAGTACAGCAATAAAAACAACAGCATACAAACAATTAAAGAAAATTAACACAGGGTATGAAGTAAATAAAAATTAGGGACAAGGAATTAATCAAAATGGGCTGGGCCAGATGCGAAGAAAAAAACGGCATAGGGCGAGATAGGATAACTCAAGTGATTTATCTGGTGGGAGATACAGGGGGGACAAGCTATGGGTTTTTGTTTTGGTTTTATTTTGCTGTAATATGTTGTCTGGCTTGGCCTCATGTAAGCTGCCCCAACTCCCTGTTGGGGAGATGGTGGTGGGGTATAAATAAAGATTATTTATTTATTTATTTACTTACTTACTTACTTGCTAGGAATAAGGTGAGGTGCATCAAGAGGACAAGTATATGCTGGGATGGTCATGGTATGGGGATTGTTGTTCATTCATCCAAAGCAAGGTGGAACATAACTGAAAAAAATGAAACTAAGCATGTACAGATAAAGCAAAATAGACCAGAATACGTATATTGAAATAACACAAATGAACACAACAAACGGGTAAGAAGAAAAAGCTTGACTCCTTGAGCTGCGAGATGAAGAAAACCTGCCAGGTGAAGTTCAATAGATCATTGCAAATCTACTAAGATCATTATAGGCTACACCGTGTAGCTTAATCCACTACAGTTGTTGTGACTCACAGAAGAATAAAGCAGAAAGCAAGTCTTTCCATGTTTGTTTTTGAAGCCTCTCTCATGACCAGTTTGAGTGGTCATTTCGTAAAAGTCCTTACTTGTATTCTTCATTTCTACTATGAAATAATGTTCATATAAATGATCACAGGCCTTAGTGACTGACAAAGTAGACTACGTCATTCTTACAATAAGCAATATGTGGATTTTCCCAAACAGTTTTACAAGCTCGTCCAGAAAGTTGTGTGTGTGTGGGGGGGGGGGGATGTATGTATGTATGTATGTATGTATGTATGTATGTATGTATAGGGCAATCAGGAAGAGTAACACAATTTGTTTAATCTGTGCTCAGGGTTTGCAACTTTTAAATAATAAAAGTAAGCTAGAGAGAAGGAACAAAAAGTGGCTCATAGAGAAAGATCTAGAGAAGATCCAGATGTGACCAAGCTATTCCAGGGGTTGGTGAATTTGACCGAGGGACTGCAGGCTGAGCTCAGTGCTCCAGTGACTATATGTAACTTTGTTGCAAGGCCTGCTAAGAAAGAGTGGGAGGAGGAATACGTGGCTTGCTAACACAGTCTTGAATTCTGTTGGCACACTACGTGAGTGGTTGCACCTTTTCAAGCATAGCACAGCAATGGTGAAGGAAGCTAGATCTCCATCTCTAAGTACCTTATTTTCTTCTGATTCACAGCCTGCAAGGCCATGTTCCTCCCACTCAGTTTGCCAATGTAGTAACACTTGCACGTGTATTACAAGTGCCCATCTTAAATCATATTCTGTAGTACTTTAAAACAATTGCCAGCTCCAACTAAAGTAGACAATGAGAACTGAGTAAGACAAAATGTATGTATCTTCCTTGAATTCAATGTGTCTATTTTATGTGGGACTGATAACACAACCCAACAAAAATATTCCTGGTGTCTTAGGTTTTAGGCCTATTTGTGGAGTTATTTAAGGTATTGATTCAAAAAATTGCATTGGACACAGAAGTAATACTTTCTTAGATGTGGTTATCATAGTTTCTTCTGGGTGAGCAGATGGTGATTGGTAACAACAACAATAACAACACACTTTATATTCACTTCTCCCCTAGGAGACTCAGAGTGGATTACAGCATTTACATACATAAGAAAACATTCAATGCTTTTACAATTACATGAGACACACAAACACAAACAAAGGCAAGGCTTCTCCTTTGATTTCCAGCATCTGGAGGAGGTGCTCGTCTCTGTCTCTAGGAGGTGTTTTCCTCCATTTTCAAGCCGAAGAGCCCGCGTTGTCACCTCCTGGTCATGTGGCCGGCAAGATTGCTTGGAGTGTCTCTTCGCCTTTTCCCACTGAAGCGATCCGTATTTATCTACTCACATTTGCATGTTTTCATACTGCTAGGTTGACAGGAACTAGTGCTGACGGATGGAAGCTCACCTCATCTCACAGATTCAAACTGCCAGCCTCCCAGTCAGTAGTTCAGCCAACCTTCAGGTCAGCAGTTAGGCAGCATAAGGGTTTAACCCATTTCACTACCACAGGAGATGGCATATGTTTTGTATCTCAAAATCTAGAGCTAATAGGGGGAAACCTTGGAATCAGCAAGTCAAATATATCCAGAAATAAGGCTAACATTTGAGGCATCAAAATGTGTGTTGGCCAGTGC